TAGATACATAGATACATAGATACATAGATACATAGATACATAGATACATAGATACATAGATACATAGATACATAGATACATAGATACATAGACACAATATTTCCGCGTATCTCGATTATATCAACTCGCTCTATAGATAGTGGGCGGGTCATTGCAACTCGAGTCGGGCTTCCATCTGGTTTTTTGGGTCAGGAGCACAGACAATGTTGACGACCTTTGCTAATCGCAATGCTTGATTGACTAGTTGTAACGGTCAGTTCGAATTAGATTCGATATGATTGCGCATTATCGACGTGACTGTCAAGGCAAAGCCGTGTCACTTGTGTCCGTATTTTTGCTTGCGGACAGTGCGAGTCACTCGATTAGAAGCGGATATAAAAATATAAGGGGGGGACTGCGCTTATTGAATGACTGATTGATTTAACGACTGAATGACTGATTGGCTGTATTCTTAACTGAATTATTGATCTTATTAAGTGATTGACCCACAGACTCAATGATTAATTAACGGATTGAATGCTTTTTTACTGAAAGGTCATTTGACTGACTGCATGACTAGCTGATTGATAGACTGATAAAGTATGTGAATAACAAATTATGGGAGTGATTGCTAAATTTTATGGAAAATTATTTGACTAACGGACTGGTAAATTGATTAGCTAAGAGAATGCTTGATTGATAAATGAATTACTGACTGATTGATTGATTGACTGACAGACTGGACTGATTGAGAATGCTTTATTGAAAAGTAAATTACTGATTGATTGATTAACTGACAGACCAGACTGATTTATTGCTTGATTGATTAGTGATAGACTGATCAATTGATAGATTGACTGAATGATTGATTATAGCTTGTTTGACTAATGAATACTTAAACCAAGCATTTAGCGTCGTAGTGTTACATTTTTATCGCCGTATCTAATCTCTTGACGGGCACTGTTTAACTGCTTATAGATTAACTACCGGACTCTATTTTAATCGCCATTTGTGCGGCAGATATCGATTTAGACTTAGCCAATTATTTCATATTCAGCATGACTGATCATTTCCTAGTTCAAGATCAAGTTTAGAAGTTAATCTACAATTCGTTTTGTCGAAAATTAGTTCGATTCATTTTCAATTATAAATACATATACACAGAAATAAATGTCTCAACGATTTTATTTATTCAAACAAGATGTGTATATATGTAAATGTATGTTGTCTAGACCTGAAGTGTGGAAAAGAAGGAGACGACGGCACTGTCGGTGGGCAGACACTGTCCGAAGGCCTCGATGAGCAACGGCTCAGCCGTAACTGTGGCCATGAAGTCATCTAGAGAGACCTGTTGAAAGAGAAGAATCAGCTAAGCAATTGCATCATGAGCCTTGATTGAGATCCTTTACTTACCTTGCCATCCTTATCCACATCAAACTTCTTAAGCACAATTTCCACTAGGTCTTTGACACCCTCGTCGGGATCCTCGTCTTGCGGCTGTTTGATCAAACAGTTGCGCAGCAGCGTAAACATTTCATCCTTGGTTATAAAGCCATCCGTATTCAAGTCGTAGACTCGAAAGCAAAAGGCCGCCCGTTCCGCCGGAGTGCCGCGCAAAAAGGTCGAGAGCCCAATGAGCCAGCCTTCGAGTCGCAGCGGCAAACCCTCATGGGCCTTGTCCCAGCTGCAGAAGATGCGCTCCATCAGTATCTCCTCGGTGACAATGTCGAAGGTGCTGTGCAACAGTTCACGGAATACGATGCGATCAATGCCCTGCGGTCAAAGAGTTCAAATTAGAGATTGCCAAGGCCAGTAGCTCTATGAATGGCTAGCCCACCTCGACAGCTGCGTGCGGCTTGGCTATGGCTGCGCTAGAGGAGCTCGAGGCGAGGGTCTTGGCCGCATATTGACAGTTCGATACCAGCTTGCGATAGATCCGACACAGCGCATCCAACTCATCCCTGTGGAGAATGTGAAGAAATATTTATGATTTGATATGAACATAATTTCGAGTCTATTATGGATTGTTCTATATTTGTTGAGAAGTCTAAGCAGTTGCAGGTCCTTAGATGTCCAACTATGTACCTATTCTATTTCCAGTCATTCTGCAGGGTCTCGGGGTCTAAGGTCCGTTACGCACTGTCGAAGCAAAACCTCTCCGTTTTATGACTGTTAGCTTATAAAGTATCCGCCTGTGCTTCAGCTATATTTAACATTCTAATCTATTTACTTGAACAGTTTCAAACAATTTCGTTTACCTTGGAGGTGAGCGAATCTTGATTAGATTACATTCTCTACCTAGTGCTAGCTAGATCAAGGGGCTTCAAGTTCTAAGGTCTCTTTCTCTCTGGACTTGGATACCTTTGTTAAAATTTAGTAAAAACTCTCTCAACAGACTTTGCCATATCTATCTGTAGACGCTAGATTTTACTTAAATTTCTTTAAATTTTCCTTCTATCAAATCAGGATCTTAGTACTCTTTCTTAAATATCCCTGCATGAGATCGTTCTAGAAACACTTCCTAGATCTCAGGACTTAGTACTTCACATATCTCTGCTTGACATAGTTCTGTAAACACACTGTAGATCTAAGGTCTTATTATTCTTCCCCCTCATATCCCAGCTGATACTTCTGTAAACACTCTCTAGATCTCGGGACTTAGGGGGACTCTTCCTTTACATATCCCTACTTGAGATAGTTCTAGAGACACTTTCTAGATCTCAGATCTTATTGTTCTTCCCCCACAAATCCCTGCTTGAGATAGTTTTGGAAACACTACTCAGATCCCTGCTTAGATAGTTTTGTAAGCCTACTCAAGATCTCAGGTCTTATTCTTCTCTCACGTATTTCTGTCTCAGAAAGTTCTGGAAACACTCCCTAGATCTCGGACGTTTCGCATAGGATGTGTCCACTAAACCTCGAACTACTTTACCTGTTGGCCTCACTATAGAAACAGTCAATGCTAGTCAGATCGAGACCTTGCACTACAAGAGCTGTAGGCCTCACTTACTAACCCTCTTCTCAGCAGTATATCTCCCTCTCTAGCTATTTCCCGGATGCCTCCATCAATATACGGCTCTCTCTTTGTCTAGCAGCATCCCAGCTGCAGCTGCCCAAGCGCGACTACTCACTTGGTAAACCGTGTCTTCTTGCGCAGACTGTCCAAAAGCTTGGGATTGATTTTGCCGCTCAGCTCGTCCATTTTACGCTGTCGCTGTAGCCGTTTGTTCTGCAGGGCAGCCGCTGCGGCCTTCGACTGGTTGTTCGAGTTTCGTTTGCCGCTGGCAAGGAATACCGAAACTGTTTTCAGAATCGTTTTGTTCGCATGTAGCGTGGATCTGCAGGCCCCACCACCTGACCCACCTCCTGCTCCAGTTGCTGCTGCTGCTGCCGCCGTCGCTGTTGTTGTTGCTCCTCCTGCTCCTGCTCCTGCTCCAGCTCCTGCTGTTGCTGCTGCTGACGCCGCTGCATTTGTTGGCTGCGTGCCATTTGTTACCCCAGCTCCGGTTCCATTCTTGGGTGTCGGTGTTGGGGAGCGACCCTTCGCGGCACCCGCCTTACCTGCCAAACAACATATTTGCTAGCACATGTCATTAGGGCGCACACCGAACTCTTTCTCTCTCTCTCTCTCTCTCGCTCTCTCTCTCTTTCTGCTTGTGTGTGGGAGTGTTTTCTTTTGTTGCTGTTTGTGTTTCATGTGTCAAAGTCAAATCAATTCTTGACAGTCGACGCCATCGACACGCAGAGATAGAAACACCCTAAGCCCTAAATGCAATCCTCCTGCTTGCTCCCTTTCAATTATTCGATTGGAGTTGGGCAGCGCCTAAGAAAAGGCCAATATGCATATAAATTGCCACCAAAACTGTATAAAAATATTTGATGTTCGCATATCGCTCATAAATCCACTACCATACAATATACACTGCGACAAAATGCCTAGTATATGGATGAAAATCAGAGAAATGTGAATGAATGAAGAGCTTCCTAAAGGAGATAAAGTGATTTGTATTCTCCAAAATGCGAATATATCTATAAATTCT